TCATCATCGCCGGTGTTGCTGGCAGAGTTTCTACTAATGGTGCCAAGACATACCAAGAGCAAGAGTGACTACCTGGAGACAGCCAAGAAAAACCCAACTGGGAGGCTATGGGTGGACTGTCCGATCAAGCCGACACTGCTGACGCCTCATGTTCCTGCGTGAAGAGCGGAATGGTGACTTTCTCCTCCAGCAGCACTGTCTCAAGGCAATGCTTGGCCGTATTTCTCGCAGCAGGTCACCACAATTATGCCCGCTTACATGAGCTGGTATGTGCGACAGATGGAGCACCTTCCCCAGCGTGCCGGGAGGACCTACTGGCAGGCGCACAGTCTTCGCATTCTGATGGCGGGACCGCAGTTCCAGCAGATCAGTTCGGGCGAACAGACATATATCAAGCGAGGGAAGGGTGCTGGAGGTATGAAGGGCATATCGACGAGCGCCGAGCAAGTGGCTGTGTGGGTCAACAGTTTCAGTGTGTGTGCCCACCTCGACATCGGCCATGGAAGCATATGTACGTCAAGTGAAGGGGATGAGGAGAAGCCACGTGGTCGAGTGGATAGAGAGGAGAAGAAACAAGCACAAGGAGGAAGGAGAGGGAAGAAGAAAGACTGGATGAGGTCGAATCGAGGAAGATCGAGCAGAGCTGGAGAAGTACACTTACCCCTCAACGAGCAGCAATCCAGGTCTCTATAACATCTGCAATGGCAAGTGGCGCCCGACACACGTGAATGTTCAGGATGCACTGACTATCGGGAGTGAGCAAAGCAAGCAGTTTTCCGCTTCACTAAGTAGTGACTTCCACAAAACCATAAAGAAAATGGTCAGATCAATGGAGGCACTCAAAAGGCAGTCACTGTCAAGGGAAGGCCATCTCGACATCGAGACACTGTTTAGTCGGCTGTTGGTCTTGGGGCAGCAGCGGAGCGTGGATCTATCCAACATTGAACTGAGTCCAGTCCCAACATCCCTGATTGATGAGTATGGATGTTTGAGGAAGGGCAACAAGGCCGTGCCGTCAAGTGTCTCGGTGTTTCTGTCAAGACTCCACCTGCTCAGACGTGGTGTTGGTTGACGCCGGTCAGCTGCTGTACCACGTTGTGTGGCCAGTCGCTGGGACCGCAGGAGATCTGGCTGCAAGCTTTGGTGCTCGACTGGCCCACTACCCCCTGGCTCAAAGAAAATAGTCCTGTTCGACAGGTATGACAAGAAGCTCCTAGCGCCAAGGAGCATGAGCAGATGAGAAGAGGAAGAGCCAAGGAAGTGCGGCTGACCCCAAACACACCCCTTCCATGCCGAAAGCTATTCTTCACAATGCACGAAACAAGAGTCTGCTCAACAACATCCTATGCGGCTACTCTCTTCCTCACACATCCAGCTTGTCAACAAGCTGGACTGTGTCGTCACAGCCTCGAGGCAGACATCACTCTCTGCAGCTACATGCTGAAGGCGGCAGCAGAAGATGCCCAGACAATCCGACCGATCCTCAGTGATGACACAGACGTCTTCGTCCTCCTGGTGTACTGGACATCAAGGATGCGGGTCATTGCCAAGATTCAAATGGAAAAGTGGAATGGTGATGTCCTGGATATCAACAAAACTGTTGAGCGGTTAGGCCCGCGAAAGTGCAGCCAGCTTCTCGGTGTCCATGCGCTGTCAGGCTGCGATACGGTGTCGTACCCCTTCGGAAAAGGAAAACAGTCAGCACTCAGCTCCTGGAGATTGATATACCAGGTCTGATCAAGTGCTTGGAGAGCTTGGCGCGACCCATGCTCAACTCAAAGCGAGCAGCCGACAGCTTCTTCTCCCTCTCTACGGACAGAAAAGTTGTACGGACAATGAATGATGCACGTACTCGCCTCTACCGCAGCCATAAGAAGTCGCAGCAACTGAAGAAAACTGCCACGGCTGACGTCAACCTGCAGCTGCATTGTGCTCCGAACTCACCTTCAGATGCTACTGTGGAAGGCAGCAAACCAAACGTGACCCACCTGAAGAAGCTACTACATATTACAACTTTGGTTGGAGTATCAAAGGCTCCCACATCACCGACCATCTCAACAGCGCCAGTTGCTCCCAAGCGCTCCTGGATGTAAGTGAGCGTTGCAGCTGCAGCCAGAGGGCAAGGCATGCAGCGGGAACGTTGCAGCTGGCAACCGTGCAGGCCTTTTCATGCACAGATTATTGCAACTGCGAGGGAGGAGTCGCCTGTTGTAGTCAATTCACGAAAATCAGATGGACACCGAAGACAATGAAGAGAAGCTAGGTGTAGATGACGACAATGACAATGATGATGATGCGGATGGGAGTAATGAGGATGAGGAGTCATAAGAGGATTGTGACAACACTGTTTATTGTGTACTGTTTAAGGCTGTTTGCTATTTCTCGTCTATTTACTTAATGTCTTATTTCTGACGCGTTTGACCTTGGTTGTTTTGACCTTGACCTTGACCCCATATCTAAAAAAGTAACGTCCAGAAATGGACCTCCTGCCCTCGAAAACCCCTAAAAAGAGGTATTGCATGACACTCTAGGGAGTCTAGGGCATCGAGATCACAAATTGTAAATTGACCAAAATCCAAGATCGACGGCGGCGGCCATCTTGAATTCCAAGAAATGCTCAACGATGCACAGGTAGCAACCAAGCTAAATCAGCTCTCCTAACTATATAGAACACATTTCCATGAAAAAAGTTCAAAGTAATTAACATTGCAGGGTCAACATTTTGGCAACTGGACTAAAGAGGCTATTGTACGTAGCCAGATACCTTTAATACCCGTGTTGCTGCTCTGTTTTATCGTTGGTTGATCATAACGGAACGCGCCTGGCAGTCGAGGTGCACGACCCGACGTGTCGCCCCTATGGAACGATCACGGCCTGATCTACCACCACGCCACAGGGGGGTAAGCGTTACAATATTAAGCTTGCACGTATGTGTCAGTTTACTGCGAACCATACATAAAAAACCGTTGATCTGTGTGTAAAAAATAGGGTGAAATGTAGCAGCAATGTGTGTAGTCATTACGAAACCTTTCTCTACTTCAGGTATCTTTCCTTCAGATGCGATTTCACAGCCATATCGTGTAGAGATGTAAGGTATAAAGCAATACGGGTCGAGCAAGCATGAACAAATGCTGTTTGCGTCTCAGGTGCTACCAACCTTTCCTTCTTTGTTTGCAGACATGTTTAGGGTTTGTTTACACACCTATCTTTATAATCCTAACCCTTATTATACCATTATAATGTAAATATTTACAACAAATAAAGCATGCAGGTAGTTATTGCTTGTAAAAATGTTGGAATAGTGAGCGCATGATCTACTAGCGCCACCTAGCGAGTGTGTCACAGAGACATTCTATATACAGTAAAACTCGCATAAGTCGACACTTTTGGGACTAACATATTTGTGCTGACTTACGAAAATGACGACATACGTGTAAGTCGTCATTTTGTCGACTTATATGTCTTATATGTAGTGCTCCCCTCCCAGGCGCTCGTAACCCCTACGCAGTCATAAACGTACTCCACACACGACGCCAGTTCGCGCCATATATATAGCAGACATTAAACAATCGGGTCCGTACATCAATCGACACCGCTGCTGGCCATAACGCACTGATCGTACGCACTAGCGGCAAGCGCGCCACCCGCTGTTGATTACACGTTTGGACATTGCAGGACATTTGCGGTGCACGTCTGCAAAATTTTCTTGGAACACTTGCTGAAAAAATACGGTAATCCGCGAGGCCGTGCTCTGGAACGAACTGTAGTAAGCGCATATCTGCGACAGCCAGCTCGCACATCCCCTAGACCGCGTACACTGCGCGCGTGCGCCATCGGATTTTCTGATGACTTACAGATGGAAGATTACTGTTGTTTGTATTATATGGGACCTGTCTGAGGGCGGCAACTTGTACATAATGACGACTTATAAATGACGACTTAGGCGGGGCTATTCCAATGGATTTATTATGAGAGAAAATCTACAGAGAAGGAGATAGGGCAAGAGAGAGAGTGTGTGTGTATATTTGTTGGAAATCGTGGCGCGATGCTGCGAGTGAAGTGAAGCATGTAGATCAAATGTTACCATGCACACATGCTGTCAGCCTGCCCGGCTCCATTTTGAACGTATAAGAACTGCCGAAGGATATTATCTTAGCAGTCAACGGCGATCGACGTCGCAGTGCCATTTGCCCATACATTAGCATAGCTGGGAATCGTGGCGCCATGCTGTGAGTGAAGTGAAGCATGAAGTTTCGTCAGTTTAGCTCAGTTAAATAATTTACACTGGCGCATGCGGAGCGGGTGCGCTTTGCGAACTCTTTTGTGATTGGAGCTAGGTTGGTGCAGCAATTTTGGGATAGGAATATTTGGCGCTGATTGTCTGTCTTGTTCACATTCGCTCGCAACCTGGACTAGCCATAACTGTAGGTGCCTATTTTCAGTTTAGATGATTAATATATGGTATGCTGACTTTTTGTAGTTATTGTTGTCAGTTCGTAAGTTTGCCAGGAAAGGCTTTGTAAGTTAGTTTATCCTACTCCGTGAAAATGGCGGCGTTGAGAAACGAATGTATGTAAACTGTCGTATGAGTGTCAGAAATCTGCAATGAATGCGTTCCAGGGTTCATGCCAATTGTTCATTTATTTTGCATCTCAGTATCAAGGCAGTTGCCATATAGCATTATAATTAGTTCTTACGTGTATTCTAATGTTTAACAATACTGCACAATTATCATTCTACAGTAACGTATTCCAACCAGATTACTTATACTGTTGACTTCTGATATGTTTCAGTCTTCACTGTGTTTCGTTTGCCTCGCAAATAAAGCTGTTCGAGACCATGTGGATTCGTCTCTACTGTTCGCAGCTGACGCGTTAGTGAAGAATTTGGCAACTAAAAGACTGATACACCGAACGCGCGAGTGGTCTCTGTGAAACCTGCAACTGAAACTGAAAGAAAACTAAAATAAAAACTAAAACTGGAAAAATAACTAGAGCATTAACAGACAAAGCTCTACAACTGTATCAGCAGGAAGTGAAAAGGAAAACAGAAACATTAAATAAATTGTGGTCTGTTCTATCAGATCTGATTGAGACAATTCCAGTCTTAGACAGAAGTGTTCACGTGTTGGAAGCATTCGTCAAAGAGCTCAGAGACAAATTTGGCAATTATAAACGTTTGACAGAAGAGTTTAGTGAATTTCTATTAACGACTCGGACAAAAGATAGTCTCCGTGCAAGAGATGAACGCCACCACCTATTGCAATCTCAGGATACAATCATTCGGAGCAAGTTAGAGGTATTGACGGTCTTGATACAGGATGCGATGGAAATTGAGTCGGTACGCTCGCGACGTAGCAACGCAGTTTCCACGACTAGCTCTCAGGCCGCAAGGGCTCGTGCAAAGGCTGAAGCGGCTAAGGTTCGCATGGAATTTATTCATAGAGAGTCTGAGTTAAAATTAAAGAAAGTGACACTTGAAAATGAAGGTGAAATGCTGAATGCTCAGAAAGAGATTGCAGTGGCAGAGGCAGAGGCTGAAGCTCTGGACCCCGATTACACGAACAGTTTGAAAGAAGGCTCTCAGTCAAACCTCAGTTTACTTCCCAAGGACGAGTCGAAGGAAAGAACTACAGACTATGTAAACAAATTACAAACAGGAGGCACAATGTTAGATCCTAGAGTGGAACCCTATGTCCCTGTCGCAGCGACACCTGGAGGAGAGTACGAAAGAATGGCTATAGCAACCGAACTTACTCGGCTGCTACTGAAAAAAGACTTACTGTTTTCAAGCCTCACTAATTTTAACGGCAATCCGGAGTTGTATCGCACATGGAAATCTAGCTTTCACTCGAAAATGCGAGAGCTGGATGTGACCTCCGTGGAAGAAATAGATCTTCTAGTAAAGTGGACTAGTAATGAAGTTCAGAAAGACGTACTAAGTCTGAAGGCGGCTAATGCTGATGATCCCGGGAAGGGACTTCGTCAAATATGGGAGCGCCTTGGTGAGCGGTACGGTTCACCTGAGATGGTAGAGGCTTCACTCAAGCGAAGGTTGGAAAGCTTTCCAAGGTTAACTAACAAGGAGCCCAAACGCCTTTATGAGCTTTCTGACATTGTAAGTGAGATCGAGGCTATCAAAGAAAATGAGGGATTCAAAGGTCTTCTAGCCTACTTTGACTCGTCATCAGGTGTGACACCTATAGTAAATAAACTGCCGTATAACCTACAGGAAAAGTGGACATCTAGCGCGACGAGGTACATGGACAGGTATCACGTGGTATATCCACCGTTCAGCCATTTCTCTGCATTTCTGAGAGAGCAGAGTAAGATCAGAAACAATCCAAGCTTTGCATACAATGTAAAACAGGCTACTGTGAGTCTACGTACTAGCCATCGTGATGCACATTATATCAGCGCTAGGAAGACTGGCTTGGTAACTGACACAACTGAAAAGCAATCAGATGAACCGTGTCCTCTGCACAATACCAATCACTCGTTCAAAACAAGTGCAAGAAATTCAGAGTAAAACCAATAGACGTGAGAAGAAAGTTATTGTATGAGAAGCGATTGTGCTTTTGATGTTGCTCAACATCGCACACCCGTCAGTCCTGTGAAGTAGACATTCACTGTGACGAATGTGGTAGTAGTAAACATGTGTCTGCCTTTTTTATTATGATTATCAAAAGCTTATGTCAGATTGATCGGTTCATGGCGGGGAGCAGGCCAGCAGAAAATAGGCTATAAATGCATCTTGTACTCAAATTTGCGGAGACGGGTTTGCTGGGAAGTCATGCGCGAAAATTGTACCCGTCCAAGTATACCACAGAAACAGACCGAATGATTGTGTAAAAATGTACGCTTTGATAGACGATCAGAGTAATCGGTATCTTGCCAAATCAGAGTTCTTCGAGAGATTTGGAGGCAACTATCGAGAAGAAGACTACTCACTGTCATCGTGTGCCGGGGTAATGCAGACATCCGGCCGGAGAGCGGAAGGGTTCGTCATTCAGAGTATGGAGGGCGATTCGTCGCACGATCTTTCTATGCTTACCGAGTGTAACCAGTGACGAAATCCCAACACCAAAGGTTGCCATGAATTATCCTCACCTTAGGAGCATTGCGGAGAATATAGCAGAGATTGATCCAGACGCTTCAATATGGTTGTTAATCGGAAGAGATCTCACAGAGGCACATCATGTACATGATCAGAAGATAGGACCCAAGGGCACACCCTATGCTCACAAACTGAGTCTTGGCTGTGTGATTGTGGGAGAGTCTTGCCTGGGCATGCAAAACACACATACTGAGAGATGGTCGCCTTTCATTGTTTGAACCATGCCCTAATGAGTTCATTGTGAACGAAGCTCATGCAAACCCTTCAACAGACTTTCATCTCAAAGTTTGCAAGCTTACAATGGCAGCGGATGTTGACACCTTGGACAGAAAAGTTTTTTGTGAAAACCAGTGATGATGACAAGCTAGGGTTGTCTATCAAGGATCAGAAATTTTTGAATTTGATGAACGATTAGTGCGTTAAGGCCGCAGATGGTAAGTGGGTTGCACCACTCCCATTCCGATCTCCACGTCCACAATTACCGAACAACAGGCCTCAAGCATGGAAGCGAGCTCAAAGCTTGCATGCAAGCTTGCAAAGAGACTCTGTCAAGAAAGAACACATGGTGACCTTCATGAAGGGGGTGTTAGAGAACGGACATGCCGAGGTAGCACCTCAAGTCGATCCTGATGAGGAATGCTGGTACCTGCCCCTGTTTGGGGTTTACCACCCGAAGAAACCGGGAAAAATCAGGGGTGTATTTGACTCTTCTGCTCAGTTTGAAGGTGTATCATTAAACCAAGTTCTACTCAAAGGACCTGATATGTTAAACAGGTTGCTTGGCGTTTTGCTTCGGTTCAGGAAGGAAGCCATCGCGATTGCTGCAGATGTTGAGCAAATGTTCTATTGTTTCTCCGTCTCCGAGCATCATCGCAACTATCTGAGGTTTCTGTGGTATGAAAACAATGATCCTTCAAAGGAGCTCATAGAGTACCGCATGTGCAAGCATGTGTTTGGGAACAGCCCGTCCCCTGCGATAGCCAGTTATGGACTACGACGTACAGCCTTGGAAGCTGAAGGAGATTTCGGACATGATATGAGGGAATTCGTGGAAACGAATTTCTACGTTGATGATGGCCTCGCCTCTGTGTCGTCTGCACAAGAGGCTATAGACTTGATAGACAGAACACAGAGGGCACTCCAAACAGCAGGAATACGGTTGCACAAAATAATTTCAAATTCTAAGGAGGTGATTGATGCATTTCCCAGTGAGGATTTAGCGAAGGATTTGAAGGACTTGGACATTGGTGTAGATGCGCTACCCATGCAGCATATTCTTGGCCTATGCTGGGATCTCGATTCGGACACCTTCACATTCAGGGTCTCGGACAATGTCAACCCCTATACACGAAGGAGCGTTCTCTCAACAGTGAACAGTTTATATGATCCCCCGGCTTCTTGGCACCTGTTACTATTAGGGGCAAGATTTTGCTGCGTGAAATGGTTGAGAACACCAAGGATTGGAATGAGCGACTCTCGGAGGGTTTTCGAGAGGTCTGGGGTGGCTGGTTGGACAATCTTCATATCCTGGTAACTTTGAAAATCTCACGAACGTATCATCCGTTCGGTGGAAAGGATGTTGCAAGTCAAACACTTCACGTATATTGCGACGCTTCTGAGAAGGCCATTGCGGCTGTAGCATACTTGAGGACTGTGGACACTTCTGGGAACGAACACGTGGGATTTGTATTAGGCAAGTCGAAAGTGGCTCCTAAGGAGGGTCACACCATTCCACGTCTTGAACTTTGTGCTTCAGTGTTGGCTGTCGAAGTTGGTGAAATTGTCTGCGACGAGCTGTCACTCGCACCAGAAACTGTGACTTACTACACAGACAGCAAGGTTGTGCTAGGTTACCTCAAGAACAAGACACGGAGATTTTATGTGTATGTTGGCAACCGCGTCTGCAGAGTCCTGAAGTTCTCAAAGCCTCATCAGTGGGTTTATGTACCCACAGAACAAAATCCTGCAGACCATGGAACTCGATACACTGCACCGGCACTCTTGGAAAAGAGCCCCTGGCTCCAGGGGCCCTCCCAGCTCCTGTTGGGAGAACATGTGAAAGTCATGGACGAGTCGCTAGATCTGGTGAATCCTGAGCAGGACAAAGAGATTCGGCCAGAGGTTAAAGTGTGCAAGTCGCAGGTTGAGAACGTCAGTCCGCGTGTTCTAAGTATGGACCGAGCAGTAAGGTTCTCATGTTTGACAAATCTGGTAAAGGCCATCGCGTGCCTGAAACATGTCGCTGCAAGCTTCACGTTGGACAAGGGTGACAAGTGTTATGGTTGGCATACTTGGATGCCTACACCCAAGCAGAAATGTTCCTAGTGAAAGAAGTTCAGCATCAGTACTATGGTCGAGAGATTGAATGTCTTGAGCAGGGTAAACCTGTACCCAAAAGCAGCGGTGTAGTATCTCTGTCACCAGTATTCAACAGTAGTGTGTTATGTGTAGGAGGTCGGTTGAAAAACGCGGACATCCATGTTCGTGAAAAGCACCCTATCCTCATACCAGGTAAACATTGCCTGGCACTCTTGATCGTCCGCCGATGTCACGAGTCAGTCAGTCATCGAGGTTGTCAAATTACCGAGGGCGCGGTCAGAGATGCAGACTATTCAGTGACTCGCGGATGTGTAACGTGTCGGAAACTGAGGGGACGCCTCGGTTTCCAGAAGATGTCTGAACTGCTTCAAGATAGGTTACAACCTGGACCCCCGTTCTCATCAGTTGGGGTAGACTGTTTTGGGCCTTGTCAAATAGTCACACGTCGCAAACGGGGGGTCAAGCAGTAAGCGGTGGGCAGTCATGTTCACCCGTCTCGTGTCGAGAGCCGTGCATATTGAGTTGGTTGAAGAATTGAGCTCATCATCCTTTATAAACGCACTGAGACGGTTCATTGCTGTTAGAGGTAAAGTAATGCTTTTTCGCTCAGACAGAGGGACCAATTTTGTTGGCGCCACAGAGAATCTTGGAATCAACGTTAAAAGTGACCGCGTCAGAAATTTCCTTCTCGGAAATGGTGCTACTTAGATCTTTAATCCACCACATTCCTCTCACATGGGAGGAGTGTGGGAGCGGATGATCAGTGTCACCAGGAGGATTTTGGACTCTTTGTTATTGAATGTGGAGGTCTCACTCACGAGGTGTTGTCGACGTTCCTTGCAGAGGTCATGGCTATTGTTAATTCACGGCCACTAGTTCCAGTTTCATCTGACCCTGGAAATCCGTATCCCCTTAGTCCGTCTATGATACTCACGTACAAAAGTGATAGCATTGTCAGTGTTGTGATTCCCTCCGGTGTCAAAGATTTGTTCAAAGCGCAGTGGAAACGCGTGCAAATGTAGCGATGCTGCGCTCGAGCTCAGTAATTAGGCACGTTGCCGAGTGAGCGGAGAGCGGCCGACAGCTGGTAGCAGGGCTACAGGTGGTACAGGTGTCAAACGACTGACTAGAGTGAATGGTCACTTAGAGAGCGGAGAGCAGGATACGTGACACGCGACATCACAGATGCGGCCCTCGCAAGACGGGAGTCGGCAGAATGGGAACCTGGAAAACACAAGAGGTGACAGGATAATGCCAGGATGGCGGGCACAGAAATCGCCGGGGTATATAAGGCGAGCGGCACTCAGGCACGCGGAACTCAACTCTCTCTCTCCCTGTGTTCTTTCTTGTTACGCTATAGTTGTATACGCTACGTGTTGTACTTGTATGAGACATGGCTAATAATAAAGTTGCTTGTGGTGCGTTACTTCACTAGTTCTTGTTTGCTTCATGTCTTAGCGCATCCTGTACCCTGTTCACTTACCCACTGCCTACCTCACCTAAGTAACCGAAGCACGAGGTTACATTTGGCGCCGTAACCTATGGAACTTGTGGTTTTGTGTTGCACGCGTGTTAGTGCTACTGCTATTCGACACGGATCTACAGGCAAAATTGCTAAGGTAAGTGAGCGGCGTAGGTTATCGGTGGCTAGAGTAATGTTATTGTCGCTTAATTCTCCCGGGGTACATACATGGGTAATGCTAGTTGTATAGTTGTGAACGCACGTTAATTTTATTGCGACTACGAAGCTCACGGCATGGCTCTCCCACCTACCCATCCATTTACTTTGGACGAACTCGCGCAGTTATTTACAAATTCCCTTCAGCCGTCTATTAAGACAGCCGCAAGTACTTTCAATCGTGCTTTGCTGGTCTCAGAAATCAGACAGGGCATACCACGTTCTATGGCCGATCGGGCCATAGTGGGACCCACATTTGCTGACTGGCGCGCAGCTTTGGAATGGGCGCAAGTCGAGTTAAGTTTGCCCGATGCGTCGTTAAAGCAGTTCGCTTTGTCCACGGTAGGGGGGCATGCCGCAGAGTTTTGTAGACGTACGTTGCGAGAAGCACCTACAATTGTTTGGAAAGATCTTA